AGGACTAGGGGACATAAGTATAAATTTTGGCAAGGTAGGAGCCATCTTCAGCTAAGACAGTTGTATATTTCTAACAGGGTGGTTGGCCTTTGGAATGAGTTACCTTCAGATGTTGTGGAGGCAGTAAATGTAAGTGAGATTAAGAGAAAGCTTTAACTATATGAATGATAAGGGTTGGCTTTAAGATTTTTTTTATCATATAATTGCTTAGTGTATGGGAGAACCGAGATGGACCAATATGTCCCTAAACATTATTATGTTAAGAAGAGGACTGTTAACATGATTCAAGGGATGGAAGAGTTATCTTATAGGGATGGGTTAAGATAACTTACTCTTGAGAAAAGAAAGGTAATAGGTGATCCTATTGAAGATCACAAAATTATACAGGGGATTGGTAGAATAAAAAACTTTTGATATATGTGTGTGTGTGTGTGTGTGTGTGTGTGTGTGTGTGTGTGTGTATGTATTATATTGGAGAAGATAGGATGAGAGAGCCAGATTTAAGGTTAGGAAAAAACAGACTGTGTTCCAGTTTTATTTTTATAACAAAGTGATTGGTTTATGGAATGAAATGACATTGGCTGTAGTAGATGCTAGCAATTTACAAAAGTCTAAGAGGTAATTAATAATTTCCTTAAAGTATGGTCTTAAATTTTTACTTTTCTTCATTGTGGGTATATAGTGACAGCTTTGAATGACCAAGTGGTTTCTTGTCTACAATGTTATGTCAGAAATTTATGAAGCTTAATGTACCTATAATTGAATTTATTCCCTATCTACCCCCCCCCCCAAAAAAAAGTTGTTTTATATATAATTTCTGGATTTGATATAACATTCATATAATAATTATGTACATTTCTCACAATAAGTTGGTATATTAACATGGAAAAAAGTAATCCATTACCAAAGGTTAATGGGCATTTTTTTTTAACCTGAGATATAGAAGTCTAATAGATTGCCGTATCTTACATTTTACATTTGAACATGTACCTCATAGTGTAATGAATTGCTTGAAATATACCTGCATAAGAATCTCGCCCAAGTTCTCGAGGTGTCTGCTGATTGTATGTATAATGATTACTAACATTGAAAACATTCTCTTTTTATTCAAAACCCACATAAGGAAGTTGATGGTTATTCATGACTTTTATGCATACATTTAATGTGAATACTTTTTAGTGGATATATTTTACCATATTTTAATAGCCAGTGTACTTTAGAATTTTATAAGTTAATATTTTTAAAGCATCAAAGATACTCTGTTTTTACAAAACAAAAAGCACATTTTGCATCATTGTGGCTGTAATACACAATTATCATTTTTCCATATGCAGGTTATTTTGATGTAATATTCATGAAAATTAATGTATGATTTCATATTTGTGATTTTTAGGCCTTTTACTTTGATCGTGATGATGTAGCCTTACGTGGCTTTCACAAGTTTTTTAAAAAAGCAAGTGATGAAGAAAGGGAACATGCTGAAAAGCTGATGAAATACCAGAATATGAGAGGTGGAAGAATTGTTCTTCAAACAATTCAGGTACTATTCCATGATATTTAAAATACCACTTATTTTTGCATAAGTAAGCTTATTTTAGACACTGTTAAGTGAAAAGCATACAGTTTACTCTCACTGTCATTTTCTCATGATTGTCAATGTTTTTTTGTTAATCTTTTAATGGCACGGCTAGGTGGTTAGGGTGCTCGACTCTCAATCTGTGGGTCGTGGGTTCAAATCCTTGTCACACCAAACATGCTTGCTCTTTCACAAAAATAGTGTCATTAAGTAATATTTGTCATAATTAATTTTGCATAATTACCAATAAATCTGATTTTATTCTTCACAAAACAAAAACTATGCTAGTTAGATTCCATAAAAGTTTAGCCTCAAAAATTAAAAACTAACTTTATAGAAAGTCAGTCACCCCAACCCTTACAGCTGTGATAAGTATACTTAATTATAATTAGTTTGTGTGTGTCTTTTAGTGATATAATTATATTTCATTTAGAAACCTAGTATGGAAGACTGGGGAACTGGCTTGGATGCTATGGAGGCAGCTCTGGAACTGGAGAAGTCAACAAACCAAGCTTTGCTTGAACTCCACCGCATTTGTGACAACCACAAAGATGTTCAGGTGCATATGGTTTTTTATAATTTTCTACCTTGTCCAGATATAATGTGTATGGAACATTCAAACAGTAGTAGGTTCTTTTAAATTTGTTTATCACTTTCACGGTATCTGTTTCAAAATTTAATAATTCATATTTACTTGTACTGCATAAAAAGCTGTGCACAGAAGATCTGTAAATATCTTACACAACTGTTAATCCTTTCATTATTTGAACATGTACAGATTTGTCTTCACTGAATTTAATCACTTTTAACAGTTAACTCTTGATTTGTTTGCAAATAGAGCTTTATATAGTTAAACTAGAGAGAAAATGTAAGTTTAATTACTGATTATTTCCTTTGAAAACCAGTGGCCCTTACCATTATCTGTTGACTTTGATACAAGTGTTATATAGAAAGTTTCTTTTCATTGTCTTAAGTTTGATGTTTATAGTTTTACAAAGTACTAGAAAGGATACCCATGTCAGGTATAGTATTTATTTTGTTGCCTTTACAGGGACAACCTACATGTGGTACATTTGCCAGTATTAGCAATGAGGAAAATAGAAATCGTTGTCAAATTCATAAAAAATTATGATAATTATAGGGGTTTTATAATCCTTCTGAGCTATACCAAAGAACCCTTGAAAATTCTATGATTAGGCACTAAGGCAGTAGCAATGGGGAAATTTAAAATGGTTGTCAAATTCATAGAAATGAGAAAATGAATACCAAAGAACCTTTAAGTGTGTCATGATGGTCAGTGGTTGGGAATTTGGAGAATTTTTATTACAGAGAAACAGACACAGCCTATTTTATAATACAGATTAAAATTAGCTTAGAAATTTTATTACAACTTTCTTGCACTACATGTTTTATTACAACTGTTACCTGATGGAGTAACTTTTAATATCAATTCATGTGGCAAGGTGTAATGGGTAAACATTTCCCATATTTTGTGTGCCCATTATATCAGTAACCACTCATTATAAAACAAAGATTAAAAGAACCTGCAGTTTGATTTATGGAGTTTTAATGCCTTGATAAAATTATAAAAAAAAAAGCTCTTTGTTGTCTTTTCAATTTGCTTTAGTGAAATTCTTAGTAGTTGACTAAACTTTTGGTATGTGTTTGTTTACTGTTTAGCTAATTTTTAGATTTTCTGGTTTTTATAATGTAAATTAATCAAAATACTAAATTGAAAATTGTAGCTAGGTACAAAACAGCAAATGAAATTTTGTTAAGCAGTTTAAACTTCCCCATTTACAGTAATGATTAGTTTGAGCTGCTAATAAAATTTGGTGTATTAAAGTTATGTTTGTTTTTTCATCCATAGATGTGTGATTTTCTTGAAGGCGATTTCTTAAAAGAGCAAGTGGAATCTATTAAGGAATTATCTGATTACATTACTAATCTCAAGCGAGTTGGATCTGGTTTGGGAGAATACATGTTTGATAAGGAAACTCTAAAGGGTGAAGATGAATAAATTTAAGGGAAAGTACAAATCGGACAAGGAGGCTGAAGGATGATAATGACTAAATGGGAGACAAAATACTTTTGACAGGACAAACCCATTAATATATATCATTCATAAGGAATAGAAACACTCAAATATCATTCTTACCAAAGCAAATAATTGAAACTTCAGAGTAAAATAGAAGTTACTATTATAACATTACCATCTAAAGCTTACCGTATTAGCAATAACATTACTCCAGAACCCCATTTAAAATTTTGTTTGTTTTGTAGTTTATAATATTAGAAATATTAACTGATTAGAAGTGATGTTTTTGTAGCTAATTATGATATACTTTATAGTCAAGAAAGAGAAAAACTGGTTTGTGTTTTTGAGGTAATATTGTGCAGAAAAATGTAATTTCTTTGTTTTTCTATCAATTTTTAATAACGTGTTTTACTCAGAGCATACTCTAAATCATAAATAACACAAGATAAACAGTCTGCATCTTAATATTTTCACCTAGATGAAAGATGATATTAATTTAGGAAAGAAAAAAAAATGACATCAGATTTAGAACTGATAAACTAGAAACATTATATTTCTATTGTTCATTGTCCATTCCAGTTGATTAAAAAAGTGTTTAAAAAAAAAAGGCATGACAGAAATTTTTCTGTTATAGTAAAACTTAAGTTACAACATATGAAAATTGTACTTTATATTTTTGGACGATAATATGTAATTATGTTTGAAGTTTAGTTAACATTACAGCTAACTAAATGTGGTTTATGTTTTGTGTACTATTAATTCATTTGACTCTTGTCTCAAATAAGATAATTCTCAGGTTTTTAACAGATCTTATAGATGTATGTACTGTACTTAGCTGTTTGTCATGATATATACTATTTTGAAGTGGTAGACAAGTCATTAAGTTTTCCAGACAATCGCTCTTAATTCGAAAAATCTAAACACTGTATTTTTATGGAGGCCACCTTGATGTAGAAGGGAAAATTTTCAGAAATTTAAAATGCAATGTAATATGTGCTAAAAATATTTTAAATTTTTTGGGGGCATCAAATCTTACCAAGTAAAAATTAAATATGACCAATTTGTTATAAAGAGGTGCATTCCATAGAGTATTCACCCCAGAATAAATATTTATAGCAATTTCAAATTTTTGATTTTTAGGGTAAAACTTTTTTCCTGTGTATAAATCTTAAAAACAGTTTGGTTAGTACATTTGCTAAATATGAACTTGCTCTAAACTGTTTTTATTGACCTCTTGCTTAATAATAATTATGTACTGTTCATAGAACTAATCTTTGGTAAAACCCAATTTCCTTTTGAGGACAGAAGTAACTAAAATATTTCAGCCTAAAGATACATTCTGCTGTTATTTTCATAACTTGCTACTGATACTTCAGTAAGACTTTTTTTTTTTTTTACCAAATTAGTCTAGTTTTCATTTATCAATGATATCTTTTTATATATGTGTTGATCTAATAAACTTTCAAAGGCATGAAGATAAGGACTGCCAGTAACTTGTGTTAAAGTACAAAACAAATATACATCTTTTTGTCACGTGAATGTTTATTCAATGTTTCAGTGATGTTACAGCGAATTTCTCGTTCTTTTTTTTTTGGGCTATATATTTCATACTAGTTGTGTGAAATATTGGTTATTTGCTGACAAGATACTGTCTTACCAATTTCATGTAATATTTTCTAATGAATGGGATGTAGTAGGCAGTTGTATACACAATATACATAAAACTCATCCTAAGATTCAGTATTATACGTGGGATTCATACATGTATACATTATGTTGTCTGAAAGTCATAAAATATTTTACTAACAGCATATGCATTTTTCTTGTATGTTGTGCTGAAGTGAAACTATCTGAACAGAATTATCTGTAGAAAGAAGTAGCTGGTTTAAAACTACTTTTAAGCTTTCTAGTAATTGAGTTTTACAGAAAAATTAAACTTTATCGTGTGATTAAATTGTGAAATGCTTTATTTCTGTCAGCTATTTTAAAATGTTCCACTTGACATTGAGTACATTAAGAACTGAAACTATAGGTATGCGTCATGGTTTGTTCACGATATTGGTAATAGATGGCGCTGTTGAGTATAGGAACTTCGAGTATTCGATGTCAAAGGACTATTGCCATCTTCGTCTAAAAGTTTAAAACGATCCTGAATGTAGCATTGAAATTATTAAATAGACATACATTTTTCCACAGACGTGCTTTACAATTTTTACTCAATTCGTATACCAAAAAAATCTGACCCAAAATATAATTTTGGTGTAAACAATTTAAGGGAAAAGTATTCGTCAGTCAATGGCCTACAAAATCAGCATTAGTGGATAGACCACAGACGCTATCGAATATTGAGTTTAAGACTGAAAGTATACGTTAAAAAAAAAAAAGAAATATACGTGTTCACAATAAAATGTTTTCTTATAAGCTTTATTAAAATATCACTCGCTTCACTATGTTTTTTTATTATTCAGACGTGTAATTCTTTTTACTCTGTTGTGTTACTCCAGTGACATGTCAAAAATAAAACAAACTGTACTCCTCAAGTTCCAGTGCATGGACCTTGAGTTTTTTGGTTGGACATTTAGACCGGATCAGGCGTAGGTTAGTGTTTAAAACTTAATCTGAAAATCTATTGCTCGCGCTCCGTACTATGAGGCCGTGGGTGTTATAACTGTGGCAGTCAAACCCCACCATTCGATTGAAGTAGGGAACAAGCTAGTGATCGGTGTTGTTGACTAACAGCCTTTTCTCAAGTCTACCAACTCAAAATTAGGGACGGCTAGTGCAGGTAGCTCTCGTATAGCTTTGCACGAGTTTCTTAAGCAGACTTGTTAAACCATTTGTACTCTTTAATAGTGAATAATTTTATATACTGAATAGTAAAGAGAATTTTCAATATTTAAGTGCAGAAGCGTGATACGAACGTTGTATACATAATTTTCACGTAATATACCATCGTTGAATAATTTTTTGTGCGTGTTTCAAACAATAAATGAAATATACCAGTCCTTTAACATCACAACTTGTGATAGTTAAATTTAATTCTCCTCCCAGTATCACGTTTTAATCTTATCAAGTGTGTTTCTCGAACGAACGTGAAAAGCTTTTTGTTTCTCTGTAGACTAACACACATTATACGTGGGCTGGCCGTGGCTTAGTGGTAAGTGTGCCGAACAGCCACCTAACGGGATTCGAGCCACTGTATACTCTTCAAACTTCCGCTATGGCCACGTTATAAAAGTGACAGTTAATTTTGTTATTAGGTTCCAAGATCCAAACAAAGCCCTTCTACTTTTGGTTGGCTGCCCTTCCTCTGGTCATTAGTTCAAAATTAGAACTATTATACTATAATTCTAGGGACTTCTAACTCTATATCTGGCCCATAAGATGCTCTTTAGGTCCAAAATGTCAGTATTAATGTTATACGTTAAGTACGATTATCTACAACCTTTACCAATGCATAGTCTACCTAAAAAGACTGATTTGAAACAACATTTAACGATATTTGTGTATAATCTTTCTGAAGACGATCTCGGACACCTGGAAAGCTGTCTTTTTCATTTAAATTCATTCTAAACACAAACTATATATTGTATTATAATTGTAGGTTAATATGCTGTAAATTATATGATAACAGAATATCTTATGTGTGAGAGAGGGTTATGAGCATCAGAACTAACTCCTTTTTGTTTAGGTGTCTTTTAAAAACATTGGCCTTTACTAGCGGTTACATGCGGTAAGTTATAATGAAAAATCCATCGGGCTTTAATCAAGAGAAAAGGGGTCGCATTCATTAGCACGTGTTAAGTTTCAAAACAACTTTATCGGTATAGTCAGTTAAATTTGTCATAAGAACAATAGCGTTAGGCTTATTGTAATTTTAAACACAATTTCTATTTGGTGCCTTAATGTGTTTTTTTGTGAAGAAGTATAAACGTATTTCAACCACATTATTTGCACTATAACCATTGTCAACAATGTTTTTGCACAGTACCAGAGCTTTCCAAATATAACGGTTGTTAACATTATTAGTGTTTTAAAAATAGACGAAACTACGAATTTCCAATAAACACGTCACATCTAGCTTCGTTTTTAAGTCATTACATAATATCTATCTATATTAATGTCATTATGTGATTTCTAGTTAAGCCAGTGATTAATAGGCCATCTCCTATTTGATAAGAATGCTATTAACTAACAGCTAAAATTAAACCAAAACAGCGAAAGTTATGAAATATTTGTTTAAGTAATCGTAGCAAACCGATTTTACACTGGAGAATTTTAAACAACAAAGAGAGTTAAATTTACATTCTCAGAAACATTAATAAATTGTATAATAGTCTTTTTTTTTATTGTCACGTATATGAAACACGTTAAATATTTACTGTACAATTCCATGTGAAATGTATGGTTGAATGAAAAGCCCTCTCGTAGGTTAATTTACTCTAATCCTGCCTAAAAGATTTTCAAGTGCCCGGCTACTGAGAATTCCCTCTTGTTTTTCTTTTTAGGGTGATTGGATTATGTTAGATTTAAAACTGAAATTGTCGTTAAGAAAAAAAAAAGCAAAGAAATCGAATTTCTACTAAGTAGAAGTTTTGTTAAAAAAAAGGGAAAGTGCAAGTTTAATATTCGTAGAGAAAACAAAACAGGCTAGGCTCTACTACTTAGGACAGTTTTATGTTTCCAAAACAGGCTAGGCTCTACTACTTTGGACAGTTTTATATTTCCAAAACAGGCTAGGCTCTACTACTTAGGACAGTTTTATGTTTCCTTATCAGGCTAGGCTCTACTACTTTGGACAGTTTTATATTTCCAAAACAGGCTAGGCTCTACTACTTAGGACAGTTTTATATTTCCAAAACATGCTAGGCTCTACTACTTAGGACAGTTTTATGTTTCCTTAACAGGCTAGGCTCTACTACTTAGGACAGTTTTATGTTTCCAAAACGGGCTAGGCTCTACTACTTAGGACAGTTTTATGTTTCCAAAACAGTCTAGGCTCTACTACTTAGGACAGTTTTATGTTTCCTTAACAGGCTAGGCTCTACTACTTAGGACAGTTTTATATTTCCAAAACAGGCTAGGCTCTACTACTTAGGACAGTTTAATATTTCCAAAACAGGCTAGGCTCTACTACTTAGGACAGTTTTATATTTCCAAAACAGTCTAGGCTCTGCTACTTAGGACAGTTTTATGTTTCCTTAACAGGGTGATTGGATTATGCAATGAAATGCAGTCGACAGTAATGGAGGTCGCCTTCACCAGTGTTTAAGATGAGGAGGTCGATTATTTCCTTAGAAATAAAAGGACTGATTTAAAATTTGACTTTTATTCACAGTGGATGTTTATTATTTTCTGCCTGTTTCCTTACTTCAAACTTCCTCCCCGGGAGATAATAATGAATGGTCCTCCAGTGTAACGGCGATAAGTTCACGCTAAAATCCGGGGTCCGATTCCCCGCGGCGGAAACAGCGGATAACCTAATGTGACATTGCTCTAAGAGAAAGAAGAATAAATAGTTTTTACAAAATATATACAATACAATCTCTGTATAAATGAAATACTTTAAAATATTCTCAAATATAAACTATATTAAGTTTATAAGATATACTTTCACTTCTTTTCTATTCCTTTATCATTTTTCTGTAGATTAAAACTTTATCTTATTGTATTTTATTCTGTTATTATAGAAAAACAGTATATTTTTATAGCCCCCCCCCCAATGGCACAGCGGTATGTCTGCGAACTTACAACGCTAGAATCCGGGTTCGTTACCCGTGGTGGGCAGAGTCCAGGTAGCCAGTTGAATAAAAACAACTCTTACTTACTTTATTGTCCTTTTCTGGAATTCGTACTAATATTTGTTACCGTTATATAGTTCCAAAAAATCTTACTCAACTATTCTTTCTTCTTACTTCTCATTTCCGGTGGGTCAGTGTTAAGTTTATGGACTTAGAATGTTAAAATGCTTGGTTCGATTCCCTGCTGTGGATAAAGTGTAGATAGGTTGTTTTGTAACTCTCCAACAACAACAAAAAAAAGTACGTAGTTAAAGGGGCGTCAAATATTTATGAAATAATTTTCAAAAATTATTATTTTATGTTTTATTTACATGTCCAAAATAGAGAACACATAAAAACATGGTTCTGACAGAATTTTAAATTTGTTAGTGACACGATCATTAAAATGTTTACTGACTTATATTGAGCTTTACTTTTTCGAGAGATCTAAAGCGGTATTTGTATGTTTTTTATTGTAGATTCTCAGTAAAACTATTTTCTGAAGAATGACCTTTTAAGTCACGAAACGGTAGAAGAAATTGATAAAAAAAATAATTAAGTCTGATGTTTCATTGTTTGCTTATTCGTATCCACAGGTGAATCTTATTGATGTTATACATGAAATTCTCGAGCGTATCTAATATATAAATATTCAAAGAGACCTCAGGATATAACTATTATTTGTTTTTAATTTTATTCTGTTTTTTGGCTGGTTGGTAGCGCTTTCGAAGCTTTAAATTTGCTTTTCAGCCACCCTAATTAGAAGTGATACATGATCCTTAACAAAGTTGAAACATACTGTATATATCCCAGCAAAATTATGTTAAAAATCAATGACAAAAGATAATTATACATTACATAAAATTCATGAACAATGGAAACTTGTAAATAATAATTATAAAACTCCACAAGTTATTTATACAGATGGATGTCTTTATTTGTTGGAAACCGACTAATCTTTCGTTTATTTCAACTATCCGTTCCTAATTTAACAATGTAAGACTATAGGGAAAGCAGCTAGTCATCACCACCCACCGCCAATTCTTGGGCTACTATTTTACTAACAAATAGTGGGATTGGCCGTCAAATTATTACACCCCCACGGCTGAAAGGGCGAGCATGTTTGGTGGGACGGGGATTCGAACCCGCGACCCATAGATTGTGGGTCGAGCGC